TAATCAGCTGGTGATCATCAAGATACCTCATAAGCTGGCAGTTTATAATGGATTCTATTATTTTGGAGAACAAGGAGGTGATAGCGATAGGCCTGTAGTTAGATGGATCTGAGCGGTAACATTTTTTAGGGTTCGGGTGCACTAAAGCTGTCATCCATGATTTTGTGACTACGCCTAGAAAATTGGAGTACCGGAAAAGACGCGTTAAAGCCGGTGCTAATTCCGGAGCACACGTCTTCAGCACAATAGGAGGGACGCCATCTGGCTCACTTGACTTGTTGACGCCCAGGGAGAGAAATGCTCTGCACACCGAGTGTTGGGTAAACAGCACTTCCTGCATGGTGCACTCACACTGCGGGATGGTTGGCGGTGTGTTCCCCCGACATCAACTCACCTACCTTAAGGGGGTGAACGGACATAGCTGAATTAGCTGAAGATTTAAGATAAATTTATAGAATGCGATTTTTCCAAATAATTTTATTCCCAATTTCACCTCATCTTAGCAGTAGTTTGAAAAAATGAATATGCAAATCTTAACAATTTGTCATCAAAAAAAAAAAAATTCTGCAAAGCTTGAATCTTCGGACGATGCAATAAAAAGTTTTATACAAAGTTTACTCCTCCCCTCACCCTACCGCCTATGAGTTTTTAGCTAGAAAACGTAACCTACAACCGTCTTCAGGATTCCATCTATCTTATATCAAAATGCATAATAATCTATTCAGCGGTTTAGGTGAGAAAGCGTAACAAACAAACAAACAAAGTCACTTTCGCATTAATAATATTAGTTAGGATATTCACTAGTTTTTAAAATTTTTCTTTTTTTTTACAACGGCAATACGGTGCAGGAGATAATATTTGAGTGCGAAAAGAGTATGCGTACTCACCCGAACTTAACTTGATCTTATGTATTTAACACTTTCCTATAACTTCAGTTCGGACTCGAAAACCAACAATTTGTGTTTATTCACAAATGTTGACTTTTGCTGGATTTACAGCCTCAGTCAGCCCAACTGACTGGTTGTAATCAAATTACAAAAAACCCAAATGCAAATAAGTTTTATTAGTAATTTGTGTAATAATCTCAGCTAATTACGTTTTACTTGCGTATTTTTAGCAAAAATTGCTCTTAATATGTCTACATAAACAAATAAAGAATCGGTAAGTGTGAAATATTTAGTCCGCCATGGGTGCTACGCCTAAAGCCTACGCATTAAAGCCTTGGATATACTTGGGGACAAAAGGAACGGCATGTTGCGCAACGTGTCGCTCAACAACTACGTGGAATGTCCCGAGACATATTATGTCGTGGAACATTTTGCAGGTCACACTAGTCAGTATTTATAGAAATGTCTCTCGAGGAGGCTGTAGCGATTCTTGCTGCGAACATAGTACTTACTTTGGGAGTGAAACGTAAGCGAGAGAGAAGGTGGTGGATGCGGAATTCCTTACTACAACGAGAAGAAAGAAATATTAATATTTTAAGTGATCTCCGTATGCCTGTCGGATCTTTTGTGAATTTTACTTGGATGTTAACATCTAATTTTGAAACTTTATCACAAATGATCGGAACTTCCATAACCAAACAGGATACAATACTGCGAAATGCTGTTGGCCCCTTATATCAGACTTGCCATTGCATTAAGATACTTGTCAACTGGTGATTCTTATGCTTCCCAGTCGTACACTTTTCGAGTATCGAAACAACTGATCGGTAGAATAGTACCAGAAGTCTGTCTAATCCGGAGTACGGTCTCACGCTTCCATCGCGGTTGCCTTCTGCAGGTTGCCGTCGTGTATATGGCATTATAGGACAGCCGATTGGGACGGAATGCGATATTTTATTTTGCATTTTTTCCTACCCTTGGGTTTGCTTCTCGCTGGATGATCCCAGCGCTACCGGAGGCAGAACAGAATACTCTGATCGCTCCTGCAGAATTGCATCACGCCATAAGCAGGAGTGCTACCAGGCTTGGGCTCACGCATCGACGTCTCGGGATGCAAATATCAGCGCTCGCGAAAAAAAAGTATAATTCCGCCTCCAGGTCCTTAAAAAGTGTCATTGCTAAGGCAAAGCCAGAGCACATCAGAGAATTGGTGAGAAACTAGTTCGACTTCCTTCGCAAACACTTTCAATCTACTCTAGCCAAGGCTGTCCAAGGGAACTTCTGTCAACCATCTCTCCCATCTCCGCAAAGGAGAGCGACTCACTGGCTCATGTCGCAAAGGACGAAGCCGATCTGCTAGGCTCTCCCTTTGCGTCCAATTCTTGATGACGAGGTAGGTGAGTTGATGTCGGGGAAACCCACCACCGACCATCCCGCGGTGTGAGTGCTCCATGCAGTATGTGCTGTTTACCCAGCGCTTGGTGCGCAGAGCACTCCTCTCCCTGGACGTCAACAAGTCGAGTGTGCCCTCTTATTGTGCTAAAGACGTGTGCTCCTGAGTTGGTACCGGTTTTAACGTGTCTTTTTCGGTACTCCTACTCCCTAGGCGTAGCCCCGAAATCATCAAAGACAGCTTTAGTGCACCCGATACCTAAAAAAGGCAACCGCACAAATCCGTCTAACTAGAGGCCTATCGCTATCACCTCCTTGTTCTGCAAAATAATGCAATCCATTACTTCATTGTTTTGGAATTGGTTATATTTATTGGCACTATTCCATTATTTGGAATTGGTTACATTTATCGGCATTATTCCATTATTGGTTCGAAATATCCCACAGCAAAACATTACTCTGGCTTAGCTCAAGAAGTAAAAGGACGGTGTCGTTTCCCGACACTACTGACTGGCGCAAAACTGACGCGGGACATGTGCGCTCGCTCTCGGAGTGGGAACAAGCAGTATGTCCCGCGTCATGTAAAATGTTGCGGGCCATGTTGCGGGTCACTGTGCAACGTTGTATCGTCACGTAGATTGAGTATTCCGCATCATGTTGCGAGACAAAATGTCCCCTAGTGTATCCGGAGCTTTAAAATATCGTCACTTAGATAACCATGCATAACTAAACTAAACATGTATGCAAAATTTCAGCTTAATCGGTTAAGGATAATTGCTTTAAAATCAATTGCAAGATTGACCCTAATAAGCAGAAACATTGCAAGTTAAATAAAAGCTTTTAAAAATAAATCCGCTGTTTAAGGGCGGATAAACTCAGATAAATTGGTTTATTCATAGTTATGTTGCAAGATCTAAATCATACTAAAATCAATTATATTTACCCATTAAATAACTTTAAGGGGAGACTATAAAAAGCTAGTTTCATAATTGGAAAAAAGTTTAATCAGAAACTCTGATCAAAAATAATGTTTAAAAATAAAGATTTCTTTAAAATGCCAACATTTATATTTTTAATTTTAGTTTACCATAATGTAAGTAATTTTTGAAGGTTTCAAACATTTCAAACAATAAGACATTCCTTTGTTAATTATTATTATTTAATTCGTTTATAGTTCAATGTTATATCAAGCCAGTTTCCTGAACATATGGATTTTCAGAAAGTTGGAGAAATAGTGGTAAAGAATGAGAAATACAAAGTTCTAAAACCGACTGTACATTTAGTGACAGATTACTTCAAAGAATTTATACAGAAAAGACATAATTCAAATTTTCCAACAAAAAGGATATTTATAGATGAAAATGGTTTTCGGCATTTTTGGAAAGGTATTGATATTCCGAGTGCCAAAAAATTTCGAAAAACTGATAGATATGACAAGGGAACCGTTAACGCTGTTCATAAAAATATTACCATTGATCATGCAGAAAAAGAAAAAACAGTTGCCAAAAATGAAATAGAGAATAATAAAAATGAAAATAACGTAAGTGTAAAAACAACAGTCAAGAAGACACCCGGAAGTAAGAAAATAAGTCAATCATATACTATTTTCAAACCAGCATTAAGACAAATGAAACAAAATGAGACTGTGACAAAGGTCTCTTTTTTCTGTCCATTTTTGGGTGTCATTACAATGACTGTACCAAATGATCCATAGCTGGGACTAATATTGATATTTTGTGAACCATAAGTAAAACACATAATTTATTAGATTTTCCATATTATATAATATTTAATTAAACACATATTACTAGTTCTGGCTCAGATTTATTATATTTATTTACTAGCGATTCACCCCGGTTTCGCTTCTGTAGATTCTATTAATGTGTTGCTGTTTAGATTTAAGATACCATCATCATCAACAGCCATTTCAATATTTTTTTGATTCCTTAATAATATTTTCCGTATATAATATAGCGTAGATTACTGCTGGCATTATTGATAATTTGTTTGTCCTTTGTACCTTGGTGGTATTACTTTAACATGAGTGCATTTTTTGTTACGGATTTTTTTTTCGTTCATTCATTAAGCCCACCAGAAGCTTAAAGTTGATCATAGGTCTTTCCAATGGATAGCCTAATTGCAACTCACGCGTGGGAACCGTATTTTTTGGAGGAAGCAAGGAGGAAGATAATGCTCCTGTTTCCTGCATTGCTACTTACAACACCCATGCAACAGAGTGTAAGTACATACATGGGCCTCTCCCGTTATAAGGTGGATTTAACTTAACCACCATGCTTGGCTGGCGTGGTGGCAGGCATGGCGGGCGTTCTGCGATCACATTTCTAGGTGTCTCACACTTACAGGCATTTTACGGGATAGTGATTACTCTTCAGCGACTATACGACGAAAGAAGAATTAGAAGAAAATTAAAAACTAAGGAAGGTGAAGAAAATTTAAAAGAAAATTATAATATATTTTGAAAATTATAGATGAAAAAATTGGTAAGTGGTTCAAGAAGCAGAGAGAGGAAATAAAGCTAAAGCTCTAAATAAAGTGAACGTAAAAGTTGTCATTTCTTTAATAATTAATTATAATTTTTTTATTAGGATTTATATTGAAATTGGTTGGTTAGGTAAACATGGTCTAACTACGAATTTCCTGGTATTTATAGTTAAAAATTAGCGATCACTTTCTGATCTAAACTCTGAGCGCGATTCACTATCAACGTTCCTGTTTTTCACCGGATTCTTTCATAAATCTCCTATTAAATCTTCTTGTCATGTACGGGTCTTCTTCGTAGTCGAATTTGTACCTATTGAAAGTATTCATGAATGTGCTCATAGCGGTATTGAAAGCACGTCGGTAACTAGTCACTGGCATTCTTTGTTTCAACATGACCACAGGCTCAAATGGTATCATCATACCAGCAGCTGCTGCTATTAACGGCATGATGGGGGCCGGGAGGTAGTAGGAGATCACCTCCATTGCGCCATTCACCATGCAAGTCCCAACGTTCCTCAACACTGAGCTTATTTTAGGCGCGGACATTAGTGTTCTTATGTGCTTTTTTAAAACGTTCAAAAGTTTGAAAACGAAATGTATTTGAACATCTTTCACTTCAGATCTTCTATTTTTAATTGTTCTATTTCTTGTAATATCAATCTCATTTGTTATATTTGTTTTATGTGTTTTTGTTTCGAATTGGTCGTTGATTTCCGGTTGCTGTGGCTGAGGAAAAAATATTTATTTTTCTATCAATCTGATATATTTTCGCTTGAATCGAAATGAAATAGGAGATCAAACAATATTGTTTAATATGTTTTGTAAGTGGTAATTGTGATACCTAGGCACCTGCATCTATCCTCGATTAAGAATCAAAATGAAGATGATGAGTGATGATATTCACTCCTGAGGATTAAGATAGAATGCCATGTTAATAAAAATGATAAAAATAATGGCAATAAGAGTGATAGAAAACATAGTTTTATATAAACACTTTAAATGATTATTGAACACAAGTAAGAAATAACGATAAAAGATGTAACCAAGTTATTAAACTAGAGAGAAACCGTTTGTGTGAAAATGATGTTTTTGTTACTTTGCCTGTAACGCTGCGGGGCAGTCTGCACGTAACTAATGTTCGTATGGCCAACAAATTAATGACTGTTCTGGATGTTTGTCCATTTTCAATTTATGTAAGTATTTAAATCGCCTTCACAATACAGGAGAAAACCCTAGTGTTTAAAAAAAGATATCTGCAATGCGACTCACCACCTAGGCTTTCGTTGTCACTTCCCATCAGGTAGGATGTAGTAAAGCACTTCATTTATTAGTTATATTCCATAAAAACAGCTGAACATAGACCTATCCCACAGATTGCCTCAGTTGCCATTCTTTCCACGATTGGCAGGCGGATAGGTAACTGCAGTTTTTAATTATTTTAATTGTTACCAGAAAGATGCCACTGCCCATATCCTATTTTATTTCCACTGTCACTGTTCACTGGCTTTTAATAAATAAAAATGAGATATGTCTAATCCTCAGAATTTCTACGAATTAGATATTCAGACTGAGAGCATGAAGTAGTATTGAAGTGAAATTGTAGATCCACTTGCCGACCTTAATAATGTTTATTGCAAATTTTCAAACTAAAGACTGTAAACAAATTTTTTATTGGATAATAAGTTCTTTCACTGTGCACTGGTTTATTATAAATGAACATAAGATCAGCGTATCTTAAGAATTACTACGAATTAAATACCCAGGCTGAGGGCGAGAAGTAGTGTTTAAGACGTCAAACTGTTTTAACAAACTAACCAAGTGAATTGTTAGGGTAATGATGTTGATATACCAATTAAGCTATTGTTGAATTTTAAAGCATAAAATCAAACTACATATTATAATTTTAAACCTACTATCGTCTAAAATGTGCTTACTTAGATCATATTTTAGACGATGGTAGACAGAATCGTATAATGTTTTTTTAAAGCTTACTTTGTTTTTGTCATAAAAGTGTTTTGTCTTAGTATGGTCTATACTTATAGAATGTTGTTATACTACGAAAATTCAAGTTTACTTACAGCTGCGATCGAATAACATATAAAATTCAACAGCAATAATATCCAAAATATTCTCATTTTATTTTATATTTATTCAAGTATGTTGGAAACAGACCCATTTGTGTACGGCGGTAACTGTACCGTAAAGTTCTTATTTCATTTCGTCATTTATGTTTCACCACACGTAGCTGTTGTTTATATGTAGTTTATTGCCTATATGAGTGTTTCTGTTGTATATATTATAATAATATTTTATATAAGTTAGGTATAGTTTTTTTATTTAAATTTTATTGATGATTCTGGGTCTTAGTGGTTAGTATTTCGCTACTACGCCGCGAGTAACGGTTTGGAATTTCAACCAGAATCATCATTTGTGGGAAAAAGGAGTTATTGGTTACCTCGTTTTATTGTGATTGTCTCAGGACATCCTATTTAAAAAATAAAACTGAATTGACAATGTAACTTACAGCCTACCTGATGGTAAGTGGCTACTGGAGTCATGCCCCCAGCGAAACAAAGTAGGATACAGACTTCCTACCTTTACGATAATAGTGACAAAGAAGTATTCAGTGGCCCATAGAAAACTAGGTACTTGTATTCTTGATTAATTATCAGACGCGTTATCAACTCTGAGGACTAAGATGGATTTTCTTATTAGCAGTAAAAGGGTTTTCTTGTTCTTGTCACATACTATACGAAGCAGCAGCATTAAGCTGGCATTCTGTCAGAGTGTGGTCCTTTTCCGGTCGAGCTGACCCATTTATGCTGCAGAATGGCTCTACCTTGTAACGTACTTATCGAATTGTAGTAACTCAGGGAGAGCTACTACAATGTGTTTTTTTCCCATGAGCTACTACTATTCGATAAGTCCTGTCTTTAAAATTTCGAACTTCACTAGCACAAATTAAATTAATAAAATCATGGTGGCAAAATTTACATATTTAAGAGATATGAGTAGATAAGGGATGCAGGGACTTTTCCTAGCCCTAAAATCTTCTCACAATTGAGAGAAAGCCAGTGTCTATTCATAGGATTAACGTACTTCTTAATTTATGTGTAGAGATGATAATTACAAAAAGATTATTACTGCTTATTTTGATAGAACAAAAATGCTCTTTGCAAAATACATATGAAATATTTTTCCAAATACCTCCAAGTTAACAAGTTATAAAAATAAAAATAATAAAGAAAACTACTCAGCAATAGCTCCTCGCAATAACACATGAAAATTTCCGTCACAATTCAATCGTTAATCGAATAGATGCAACGATGTAAATGTTATCAACATACCGTTATGCAATAAAACGGATTCGTTATACGTTTTTTAATTAATATCCATATCGTTACAGAAGTCAGTGCTGACACGAGTTTGATTAAAATGCAACTTTTTATTGTTTTTGCTTCATTTTTGATAACAGCTCTAAATGTTTTCGCTCAGGTAAGTTAAAAATCACAATCGATTTTACATAGGTATGTGTATATAAGAAAATCGGTCATTCGATGGATTTAACTAGGCCAGGCAGCGTTCGGGGGATTACGACCCATCTTCTTGTTACGCATTCCTCAAAACTTCAAAACCATATTACCTTTTCAGTAGATTTGTAGTTTTTGTGTATCTAACTGATCTAGAGTTTACGTTTTGTTTTCTACTGTTCAAGAATTACATGATTCCGTAGAATTCCTGAATATAGTATAGAAATATGTATATTTATTTATAATATATCATATGTATATTTTTCATATTTTTTTAATGAAAGAAAAATCCAATGAGATTTTTTTTTTAATTAAGTTACAAACAAACATTCAGTTTACCTGACGGTATGTTAAGTGACTGCTGCATCTTATGGACACCTACAACTAACTTCAAATGAATAAGGTTACTGATGCATTGTTACCTGACTAAGATTGAATGTCTCACAGCCTGTTATTATACTGTACCCTTTACCCTTCAGACCAGAATATTATTTACTTATTTATTTATTCATTTATTTCGGTCATGGCGGCCGGTCTCAACGGGGACTAGCCATCGGCACAGGACAGGTTTATAGTGCACAAGTGTATGCGCGCAAGCACTGTTGCACTCTATTCCCTTACTTGGTCCAATGGGACCGGAGGGAGATCAGGTGCAGGACCAACGGCTTTACGTACTTTCCGAGGCATGGGGGTGAGTTACCGCCAATTTCCTGACTCCGGACAGCTTATGAGAATTTCTTAATGGAAAATCTCAATAACTGATTTTTTTGGCCCGACCCGGAATTCGAACCCGGGACCTCATGATCGGTACAATTGACAAAAAAGATTGGTAAGAGTGTGGTACCTACCCATACGAAATCCTAGACAGAAAAAAGTCCTATCATTTAGTAAAAAAATAGTAAACCTGATAGTTATGACGAACGATCGGGTTATCTCTATCTTTAGCTTTTTAACTTTTACAAAAATTTGTTTCATAAAGTCAAAAACCGTTAGATTTTTATTAAATTTTAAAGATTTTTATTTGAAGAAAATCATACACTAGAACGCTAAACTTTTGCTCTTCCAATCGATGTAGTCCTAATTCAGTTACAGCAATTTGGCGTACTGCTTGGGTCGCCAACATTTTTAAAAGATTATTTAGACAGGATATATTTTTTCAGTGAAAAATAATTAATCATTATTAGTCATTATAAGCTTCTCAAATAGATAGGTTGTCCTGCTCTCTCCACCGTGTGCTGCCTATGTGCTAAACTATTGAACTGATTTCATTGAAATCAGTTCAATAGTTCAGAAGTTCATCGTAGACAAGATATTAAAATTATAGAATTTATTAAACACTTTATATCTCTTGGACAGTATCCTACGTCAATTTTAATACAAGTAGGAGTAACAACCGTGTGTTGTATACGGATGTTGTGGCCTATAGACACATACGAAGAAAATGCTAATGCCCTGGTCTAAGATAAAGTGCCTCGTTACCAACGTTACCACAATAAAAAGAGTGTCCAAAACAAGATTATGACGCTGTTTCTGTACATGACAGATATAGGCTATGGGTTTCATCATCCAATTTGTGTTTAATCTGTGGATTATATCTTCGTTTGTCACCCTTTATTGTATTGTAATACAATATAATTTTACTTACGGTTATGTCTATATCACTTATATTGCCGAATAAAGCAGCTGAAGTAAGTTTTGAGACACCTGCACACATCAAGTCCTGGCATAGCTTATCGGTTGGTTACATCTTCGAGTGGAAGGGTGTACTAATTATATTCTTTTACGTGGTAGAGCCATGCTGCAGTTATATTAGTAGTATAGTTGTAGCACGAATGGGTCGGCTCGACCGAGGAAGGACCACGCTCTCACAGAATACCAGCGTCAAATAGCAGCTTAATGCTGCTGTGTTTCGTATGGTGAGTGTAGAGAACCGGAGACACTTTTTTCTGGAAACGAGGCATTCCACCTAAGTCCTCACGGATGACAACGCATCTGCATTTTGATTCGTAATCGAGGATAGATGTAGATGTCTATGGGCCACAGCAACCACTTACCATCAGGTGGGCTGTGTGCTCGTTTGTCATCCTACTCTATAAAAAAATATAAATATTATGTTGTTTTTCTTGCCCATACGAATACAAAAATACATCAAAAGTGCATAACCTAAGTGGGCTTTAAAGATTAAGCGTCAAGACGTCACGCGTAGATTTTCAGTAGGAAAGGGTGGCTGGTACTGAGCGGATCAACGCCGGACGTGATCGGCGGAATTGTGAGGGTTGATACTAGTTGACAAACCTGCGCATGACTTATACACGCAAACAAATACTTACAAAGGCACTTGACCTAACATAACCATATTCGATGTAACATTTCTGCGATTAAGTGAGATAAGTTATAAGATTAAGTGAGATAAGTTTGAAGTGTCGAAGTACGAGCGATTTTTTGTACAAAATTATAACACACATAGGGATTGAAAGCCAGGACCTGTAGCTTATCCTCCAGTTAACCTGATTACTAAACTACGCGGTCGATACATTTTATAACTATATTATGTTCGCAGCCCCATTTCCATTTGTCTGAAATTCCAGGTGCCATACGACTACATTCCGCTCGGGCGGCAAGCGAGACGTGATATCGCTCCACCGCACCCATCTGATGTTAACCTGAATTATGAACGACTCTACCCCGCACGTCGTAAATGGATTGACTAATTTATAAATTTCATGCAAAACGTTATGTTTGTTTAATTTTATATTTATTAATAAAATAAAGCAACTGTTAAGTTTCCTTTTTTTGATTTTCGAAAGGTAAGAACGATATATATATATATATATATATTAATATATATATATATATATATATATATATATATATATATATACATACATATTTGTTTTTTTATTTGTTTAATTGTTATACGGTTTCTATATATATAATTTTTAATATAATTTCTAAAGTTCTCTTCTTCTTTTAAGCAAATATCTGTATTAACTGCAAAACATAACCTGCTGAATGAATTTCAATCGGGGTTTCGCCCTGGTCACAGTACTACCACTTCGCTTATCAAAGTCACAGACGATATAAGAAAGGGCTTAAATGAGCAGAAATTAACAATGGTGGTGCTTATTGACTTTTCACACGCTTTCAACACAGTGGATCATGGTATCCTCCTATCCATCTTACACCTTAAATTTTCATCCCCAGCCTTGGAATGCTTTTCTTCTTATATTCGCGGTCGCCAGCAATCAGTTCGCTCAGGGCAGCGGTTTTCTGCATGGGCTGAAATTGAATCTGGTGTGCCCCAAAGCGGAATACTTTCTCCTATTATGTTTTCCTTATTTATAAATTCTATCACCTCAGTTTTAAATCGTTCGTACCATCTGTATGCGGATGATCTCCAGCTCTTTGTACAGTCAAGCTTAAATAATCTTAACCTTTTAATACACAAACTAAATGATAACCTGGAAGCCATAAGAGATTGGTCATGTAAATATGGTGTTTATGTTAATCCTGCCAAATGCAAAGTTATAATATTCGGAAGTCCGCAATTATTGGCTAAGGTTGATTATGGAAATCTCTCTCCTGTAGTGATTCCATAAAAAAATCTTGGCCTGTACATGGATAAAACTATGACCTGGAAATTGCAGATCTCTGAAGTTAGTCGTAAATTTGTTGCTACCTTGCGTTCCCCTTATCGTCTTAAAAATTTCCTACCTTTCAAAACCAAGCTTACGCTGGTTCATTCCCTCATTCTACCTATTATCGAATATGCCGATGTATGTTACCCAGATCTGTCAGGAAATCTTCTAAACAAGTTGGAGCGCCTTCTTAATAATTCCATAAGGTCTATTTTTGGTTTAAGTAAGTATGACCACGTATCATCCTATGGTTCAAAGCTTAAATGGCTACCTATACGTCAAAGGCGATACTCTAGAATTTTACTTGTACTTTATTCAATTTTAAACGATCCAAGGTCGCCTTTTTATCTTAAGGATAATTTTCATTTTTTTCATTCGATCGACGGTCGAACATCTCGACAGTCAAACCGTCTGAGGTTAAGGTTTCCACAGCATAAGTCTAATTTTTTTAGGTCATCTTTTACGACACAACTTTGGAACACCCTCCCCAACGATATTACGAGAATTCCACAAATAAAAAAAGTTTTCAAAGTTCTTCTCCGGGAACATTACCTGAAGGCAACTACTAATTGACATTATTTTTCCTTAATTATTGTCTTTCTTTTCTTCTTTCTTTACTTCAAATATTTATTTCATTATATTATTCAAACATTATATATATATATATATATATATATATATATATATATATATATATATATATATATATATTATTTTTGTTACTTGGTTCTTACTGAAATAATTAAATTCATATCGATGTTAAAATAATCAAATTTCTGTAAAATCGACCTCTGGAACTTTGTTTTTAGATTAATCTATTAAAATGAACATTTTTTAAGGAGAATTTACATTCTTTATATGATCACCCCTTTTTCCAACTTTACCTTAATTCGCCCATTAAAATACATTATACAGAATGATAACAGTTTTCTTAAAAATTTGGTAAACTGTATGACACATGACTTGTCCTAGCTATATTATGTTACCACACAGGATGCGGAAATGTATATGTACAATGAGATATTTATCTCTCAGAGCTTCTCTATGCTATACATTATAGTTATGACTTGCCTGTGTTTTATTATAAAATATTATAAAATTTTCATTTATTTTTCTGCTATGTATTTTCATTTAATAACTAAATAAATATGTAAAGCAACGATCATGTAACCTAAACCGGTTCGACATTTACGTTTCGAGGATCGATTAATTGATAGTAAATGGTGTTCATTTTTCATTCAAAAGTTCCGCTCCGTTCGTCCGCCTGAGTCATCTTGCACTATTTCCGCACAGGCATTCTATCTTAGACGTGACAACGCATCTGTAATCTGCGTTGATCGGGGCTGGCTGCAGGTGTTTATGGACTGCAGTACCCACTTACCATCAGGTAAACTATAAGATCGTTTTTCACTTCGATTTTATTAAAATAGAGATTGTAGACGAAAGTTGGCACTTTGTGATCAAATAATAAAAATAAAACCGTACTCATGAATAGCATCCGTGAGAAATCTATAGTTTTAAAAAAATATAGTTGGTATTCTTTCATCTACGTATTTTGTTTTGTACGTTTTGGGGATTTGGGAATTTTAAAAAAACAAAACCATAATGATATTCTGACAAAAGCACGCTTCAATACTTTAATAAATTACATTGTAATATCATTGTTGCATCTTAAACCGATTAAACATTCTCGATTTTCACTTTCTTTGATCACAGTTTCGAAAAACGTATGTTACATTTAGTGGGATAATGGGATAATAAAGGAACACTAAGGAGTCTTTGCTTCAAACAAAACGTTATTAGAGATATTTTCAAACTGGGCCTCGGTCGTTAAGGATGGTTGCTGGCAGACCGTAGGTTGGCTACGAGCTCGTCGATGTTGATGTTAGGTGGGACAGGGGCAGCCAGCTCCGCGTACCGGCTGGTGAAATCGACGTGGTGTGGGTCTGCTTGCTGACCCTTGAAAAATACAATGGTTTTTTTTAACGTCGTCATAAGCGTAGACAGAACATTACATATACATATATACATAGCGTCACATAGCAACCCGCAATGGCGATGGCAGAGTCCATTTAACAGCGAACTACACGTATAACATTAAGCAAAAAAGATACGGGTTTAGGTGAAAAATTGTGAAAGAAATGATAGGTGGCTAGCCCATCCTCTTTTATTGCTAGTCGCTGGCTATTGGCATTGAACATCGTTGTCAATGCCACTAAGGGATATGTTTTTCTTATAGAATAAGGCTGGCAAACGAGCACACAGTCCACCTGATGACAAGTGAATGCTGTAGCCCATAAACATCTACATTTATCTTCAATTAATAATCAAAATCCAGATGCGTTGCCAGCCCTGAGGACTGAGATGGAATGCCTCGTTTCCAGTAAAAAGGGTCACAAATAAGAGTCAGAAATACCTAATAGCTTCCGATATATGGCAGTACAACAATGTCAATGACCAATATCTTTAAAAATACTTCTGTTAGCTCGTCACCAGGTCTTCGTTAGTTACAAGGAAATGGACCATATGCAGGAAAAAAGAAAAAGGGAATAGGTTTACGTTGAGAGAATCTGTTCCATCTCTCTCACATTCTTTGATGTTACTTCATCATCGTAAACATCATACATTACAGCCCTTAACAGTCTACTACTGTATATTAGTCCCCCACAGATTGCCTCATACGGAGTTCTTTTCTGTCTTAGATGCCGTGCTTTGCAGGCGAGTTTGTAACCGCAGATTTAAGTTATTTATTATCGTTGTTTGCTGTTTTAGTTTCCCCCTTTCGCCTCTGGCGACGTCCCTGGGATAATACGGGGTAGTAAATATATCTCTTTATGATATCGTCTCTTGATGCCATGTAGAGGAGGCGTTAAAGTATCCACCATATCATCACTTACTTTTACAGGGCCTTTAGAAAGTCCACTGCTGAACCTTAAGCCTACACCATATTTTGCCTCATAGGACAGTATATTCTTCTTAGTTGTCACGCTTGGAGAACGAGTTGGCAACCGCAGTTTATATATTTATTTATCTTTGTTGTTATTAGAAAAATGATGCTGCCAATCTTTAGGTTTGT